CACATAAGTACTTTCGTTTTTTTTTCAACGTGAAGTTTCCTATCAGATGATATCAAGCTTGCTAGCAAAACATTTCATCTTTGGAACGAAATTTCCGGTTGAAAAAAAACGAAAGTACTTATGTGCCAACCCAATAGTTTCGTGTATTGCTGGGAAGGTATAGCATTCACACAGCGTGCTAATGGTGCCCATGTGTTCGATGTGCACTTGGGTACAAGGTTCAGAGCAAATCTGTTTTTGAGAGCAATATCCTTGGAGATCAAAATTTGAACTTTCAGTGGGAGTTGATTTCTTTTCTCAAATTCTCAAAGGCTGATACGATAAGGATTGAATTGCATCCAAATCAATCACCTATTCCCCTAGGTCTCACGTGTACAGGAAGCGCAAGCTACGTCATGACACTTGCACATTCTGCGCACCCAAGGCAGGCAAAAAGAGGCACTGCATGCGAGCTCAACATTTTCAGGCGCATCATCTGGCATTGTCATATTTTTATGCAACGCCTTGCAGCATATTTCTACCTCGAATCCTTTACATTGTCCTGAATTTACCCATATTCTCCGTACTCATTATTTCTCAATTCATGCAGTTCTCTATAGTGGTTGAACGATGGTTTGCAACAATTTTTATTGGTAACTACGAGTCAGGTTACCGGAAACTTGGACCGGCATTAATTGCCGCAACAGTGAGTTTTGTCGCCGTTGAGCATCTGAACATTTCTCTCAATTTCACAACCTTATAAAGTTCATATATTTAAGGCATTTAATACAAAACACTTCATCGGAGTCAATATAGTGTCTGAGGTGTTTTTGAATGCCTTAAGCGTTTATACTTGACGCGTCTTTGCGCAGTTGATTGTAGCAAATGATGTTTTTACGCGCAAGCCAATACAACAGAGAACTACTTGCATAACTTAGTCGACAGTTCGAGTCTCGTGCAAATTGGACCAAGTGCACGAAGATTATAGGTCCAACTTGCTCTCCAGTTCTGAATGATATTTATATTCGCAAGGGGATCATCAGTGAAAAACTGTTCTTTCTGTTCAGGTACTGGCGACTGCTTGTGTTCTTTTTGCTATATATTATAATGAAAGTTTCAACGGAGCGCATTTAAACGCTCGTTGGTTGACAGCAATCAAGGATGCAGCTCGAGCAAACGTGGCTCTGTTTTCACTAGTGATAGTGAACTTTCTTGGTCTCGTTCTTACCGCGACATTGCGTTATCTAAATCCAAAGCGACGGATCAGGTGGGCATGCGGCACAGTTGGACCATATATAATTCTATCACGTTGCCCAATTCTATAATGTCTCTCGGCAATAAAAATAGAATGAGAGAGGATGTAGAAAAACCGAGATTAAAATTCGGCTAAGTACAAGGGCTGAACAAATATCCAACCATTGGAATTATTCAAATATTTTTTATCGTCAACTCCCAGTTACTAGCGGAGGGGACCTGCATTTACGTTCTCGTTCGGCTTTATAGTATTTTTAAACACATTCGCATGCTTTTCTGAGTCACATTCTGCGTGCTCCTGATGCCTGGCTGCAGAAAGATTCAAAGGCTGCGAACATGAGGTGAATGACTGCGTAAAAATGCTAAAATGCAACGTCGGTTTGGTGATCCCTCGTCTTCGTCTGAAATTTATTTATAAGCGAAATTGGATACTCCGAAAAATTTCTCGAAATATTGTCGCTTGTCATATTTTTGTTCTGCTAGGAAGAGTTAAGGCATGTTTCTGTAAAAAGGTTTTCATTATACCTACTCAACCACGCTGTGGAGAAAAACTAAACAAAAATGCCTGAATTCAATTCCAGTATGTCATTGTCGTCGAAGTTTCAAGCTACCGAAATTTCAATTGTATCAAGTTTTCTATTCTGGATATCCGCCTCTCAGTTCACGGCATTATTCTTTTCGCAAGCTATACTTTTATATTTGAGGATTTACGAAACTCAAAATCCTCTGTCAATCGCTTACAAGGAGAACGCCGACGTAGGTTGTATGCTCGGGTATATAACATAATCAGGGCTATGGGTATTTGTGGTGTGATCAGATTTCTCAAATACCATTTTGACTAGAGAAGTTGAATCTAGTGAAATTGGCTGTGCCGATAACAGCACAATTGAAAGGTGTCACCAGTGTGTGCCAGCCATCGTATGAGCCCTAGAAGCTATCGAGCAGCGCTTTGACTCATTAGACCTTCTGTGCGACGTGAGCCCAAATAAACGTTGTTGCATAACAGGAACAGCCTTTAAGAGTTTTTCATATGGCAGCTCAATCATCAATGAAAGGAAAATGGAGACGAAAACGTTTAAAGTACTCTGAGTACCAACAAGACAAAGTGCTTGTGCATTATTACGTTTGCTCTTCAATTGTGATGGACGGTACACCTCTGGCAACAAGGTTCACGTATTTAGGAGCCCTGGCAGACGCAGACATGACACCATGTGTCAACACCAGCTGCTGGTACAGACGCAGCTCGGACCATGTTGAGGACGGTTACTTTGGACACAGCAATTCAATTCAGCCAATGTCCAAGATCTCAATTCAATCGTAGTACCAGTCACTGCCACTGCAGCCGAGAAAAGTAAAATAACGAATGAAGAAACAAAGGCCTGAACGCAGTGGAGATAACTGAATTCAAGGTAAACGCGGCCGGGCCGAATCCGAAACAAAAGCGTTCGCGAAACGGCTGAAGCCTAAACGGCTTCCCTAACCTCCTTGTCACGCTTCGCCTCCTATGGTTTGAACGAAGTTCTGTTCTCATGTTCAGCGCGCTAACTCAGCTAAGGCTGCGTTTATACTTTGCGGCAGCGTAGCGTGGCGTAGCGTAGCGCTTCCAGCGTACGCCAGCGGCAGTGCTGGGGAGAGGATGCATATCGATCCAGCGTTCCCCCAGCGTCACGCTAGCGTACGCTAGCGTTAGCGCAGCGTTTTCGCCAAGGCGTTTTGCTAGCGTTGCAGCGGCAGGGGAGTAGAGACTATGGGAGAGCTGGAGGGTACAAAACACATCGATTGCGCGTCTCTCACTCACCCTCAGTCTCTACAATACACGTCGATTCCGCGTCTCTGACGGCCACATAGTCTCTACTCCCCTGCCGCTGCAAACGCTAGCAAAACGCTGGTGAAACGCTGGAGAAACGCTAGCGTACGCTAGCGTGACGCTGACGCTGGGAACGCTAGATCGATATGCATCCTCTCCCCGGCACTGCCGCTGGCGTACGCTGGAAGCGCTACGCTACGCTGCCGCAAAGTATAAACGCAGCCTAACAAGGCATTATCTTCGGTTTATGTTGACGGTTGGGACGATTAGGTGATTCAGGGTTTTGGTATGAACAAACCAAAGATGGAATGAGAAGAAGAAAAGTAAACAAGAAAACAAAGGGGAAAAAGAAAAAGAAAAGGAAAAAGACAAACAGGAAAAGAAAAAAGAGCAGAAGCATATCTTACGCTGAACCAACGTGCCGCGACGTTTGCGTGCTGCCGCGCTATGATTTAGTAAACCCTGTCCCCTTCTGAGGCTCCGTTATGTTATCGTTACATCTCTTATAACTTCCTCCACCGCCTACGGACAATATGTTACCTCCCCGATATCCTAAGCAATTCACTTAGTCAGTTTGAGCGCACAATGGCTGTTTTATAAGGAACTTATGAATTCCTGGTCAACAACATAGCCAGACACACATACACCTCCACACTTCACACCACACACACTAACAGACAAACTTAGCGGATTATACATAGTAGGATGCTTTAGCTGTGAATTTCATACCGCAGCTGAATCATCAATGAAAGGAAAATGGAGACGAGAACGTTCAAAGTGCTCTGCGTAACAACAAGACAACGTACTTGTGCATCATCACATTTGCCTCTTCAATTGTGATGGACGGCACACTCTGACAACAAGGTTCACGTAATCAGGAGCCCTGGAGACGCAGACATGACACCATTTGTCAATGCCAGCTGCTGGTACAGACGCAGCTCGGATCGTTGAGGACTGTTACTTTGGATTTTACAACAGCAATTCAAGTTCAGCAATGTCAAGATCTCAATCTAATTCGTAGTACCAGTCACTGCCACTGCAGCCGAGAACAAAAAATAGCGACTGAAGAAACAAAGGCCTGTACGCAAGTGGAGATATAACTGAATTCATGGTAGACAGGCCGGGACGGTCCGAATCCGAAACGAAAGTGTTCGCGAAACGGCCGAAGCCTAAAAACGACTTCCCCAACCTCCTTGTCACGCTTCGCCTCCCATGGTTTGAACGAAGATCTGCTCTCATGTTCAGCGCGCTAACTCAGCTAACAAGGCATTATCGTCGGTTTATGTTGACGGTTGGGACGATTAGGTGATTCAGGGTTTTGGTATGAACAAACCAAAGATAAGAGAAGAAGAAGAAAAGTAAAAAAGAAAAGAAAGGGAAAAAGAAAAAGAAAAGGAAAAAGACAAAAAGGAAAAGAAAAAAAGTAAAAGAATAACACGGGCTGCTTCTTCAAAGGTACATTGTGTGAATAGCGCGGATTCCAACAAGTGACGGTCTGCCACTTTACCAGCACGTTGTAGAAAATGATCGAGTCGAGCTGCGACAAGTCGAGGAATAATAAAAATTCCATCTCTGAAAGGAGTGCAATAGCCGAAGAGAAAGATACGCTGTGTACCAACAATGGAGAACTCATACCAACGCGCATCGAGCCTTATGCTCGTACAATGTTCTAATTGAGCGGGTATTATTTAGGGCCTTTCCAACGGCGTTTAGCCGTTTTCTACGCTTATAAAATTCCTCACACATGCACTTTCGCTTCTACGTGTCCTATAAACCTGTGGAAGGGATTACGAAATATACATTCAAGAAGTTATAGGAGTCTAAAGAGACTGCTTTCTATTCATAAAGTGCTCCACTGTCACACCGTATTTGGAGCACAGTTCAACTTAAAAAATCTTATTGTGCAGTAATCTGTAGTGAAGATCTCATGTATCCTTAAGTGACACATTTAAGCTGTTCAATTATTACACCTTGGCGTTACCGATTTTATCCATGTATTATATAAGGAAAGTGAAACGCCAACGAACTATATCCATAAGAAGAAACATAGATGTAGGTTAACAATGATTCTGCAATCTGCGTCCAGTGATCCTTCTACTCGAGTCTTTTTTTGCAGATAAAGACTATTGGAATTGACGGTTGGATCAACTACTCAGCAATCATTCGAAAGCAATGGAAATGATCACATTCCACTCTTGTTTGTTTTGATGAATTTGTTGTCGACGGATGTTTTGGTGCACTTCTCATGCTGATCTGGATAGAAGTATTGGACGGGAGGCGGTCGCACAGCTGGCACAGCTGCCACCAGTCACACATTCACTAAGGCGCTGCTGACCGTAATTGCCACCATCACTTCTGTTTGCGGCCCATCTTTTGCACCAGACGACCCATCCAGCTCGCTCATCATCGTAATTTACGAGTTACTCGATCTACCGACAAGTGATAAAACGCCAGCATAGATGGCGACCACTAGGGAGTCAAAAACACTATATTTTCTTTCAGAGTCGTGGTGGCTTATTGAGTGCTGTAAGCCACCACGACTCTGAAAGAAGTGGCTTATATAATGAGTTGAGAGGGCCAGCCGATGTACAAGTCAACGTTCTTGCCACTTCCAAACAAACCTGGTACCGGCCTACCTTCCCGGAGGTTGGTGCTTGGTTGACTGGAACGGGCGATCTGGGATTTGACCCCCAGATCGAGTGCGCGTAAGCGTGTCACTTGCCGCTATACCACGTCCGCCTGTAGCGTAGTACATTGTAATTGTTGTTGTGGTGACAAAGGTTCACTATTATGTCCTGAGAGAAATACGCTCAACTTCTCCATTTTTCTAGACTCCCTGCCCGACTTCGAGCCACTTATGCTTACCATTTTCGCAGCTCAAAAATACGTGGTAAGAGCGCTACCCACTCGTTTGGAAGAGTGCACCGCCCACAATCTCTTAAGCAAAACGCTTACTTCCTGATTTCTAACGGATATCCAGCAGCGTGATTGATCATCTCTCACTAGTTTCGATTGGTGGGAATGTGGGGATAAGGAAAAAGAACTGATATCGCTATGATACCAACTAAAAATGCGCGTCCAAATGCGCCCTTGCTACCACATGTATGTATAGTTACAAGATTGGTTTATGAATTCTTCCGCGTTTATGAATCTGTATAAAGTGATGTGTTTCCCAATGTGTTCTATTTCATCTGAAATTCCTGTTCTACGAAATAGCACGCTTGGTTTTCTATTCCCTCTAGAAAATGGGGTGGCGAGCTGACGCAACTGAGAGATGAGAGATACACCTTTTGCTCTCAATCTGCACACCTAAACAAGCAACTGAAAACTTGTGACTCGTGTGATCAAAGAACTATGCCTCACAGAAAAGATCGATGTTAGTCCAAGCGATGAAGAGATGGGAATTTAGACTCTGTTAAAGTGCATCGCATGAGGCACGCTCTTGAAGAACGACTGCCCGCAAGACCCATTCACCAAGTTTTGATGCTCTCCCATCAAGTGAAATCGATGCTCAAAGAGGACCTTAAAGCGATCTGTCACATCTTCTAACGACCCATTCTTTAGCATGGAACTTTTAGACTGACCGTAATGTGTTTTCCAAAGCTCAATCGAGTTTCATAGGGCAGTCAGTGCGATGTTTGCCCGTGAGGTGGAAGTAGAAATCTTGGAACTGCTCAAATCGTTTTACGCCTTCCCGAGAGACATTACTTTTTGACTACATACGTAATGAATGGATGTTCGCCGTTTCAGCTCTTTGAGCGAATGCAGGCGTAGAAAATGCTCAATTTCATTTAATTGCACTGCGCGTCAAGCACTTGAAAATTTTGAAAAATAATGGAAGGAGAATTTTTTGAAAAACTGAACATAATGTCTCCAGCTTCTCTCTTCGCCCATTTCCGGAATGCTTACTGTGTTAGGTTTCCTTATGCCGAATTTGTTAGTGGAACACTTTTGTTTTCCGCCTGACGTTTTGGCTAGA